AATAATCAGGACATGTGGTTCAGTATGACAGTCTATAATATGGCATGTTAAATTTAGTGTAAAATAGAAAGTGGAAAAATAACTTCTTTTAATAGAGCAAGACAAAAGTGAGTTAGGAGGAAATAAATTGAAAACATTAATGTGAAATCATTGTTTGTTGTTTTTGGGACTTTATTGATGTAAATGCAGTAATGAGTAGTATCTTGTCCGATGTCATTCTGCCTCCTTCCAACAGTTGTGTAAAACAATCTCATATACTCCAATGCCCGATTTGATTTTTTCCTTTTTCTCTAGTATTGTTCTCTGTTAAAACAAACAAGGGATTTTCAAAAGATCTGATCCTATGTCTCGGGGCAGGAAAAATTAAGATGAGCCTGGAACCTTTGTTTTGTTTTCCGGAAAGCAAAAATACTTTCAGAGGCATCTGAGAATTTATTGATTGATTTGTTATTGTTTTTTCCCCTGCCCCATTTGAGCACTTGGATATTTAAGAAGTAAAGAGGCCACCCTGAAGAGAGGACTCTTAATGACAACTTGGAGAGTAAGGAGAGCAAAAAATCACCTGGTGACCACGGAACAGGCCCCGGAGACAAAAACTCCTTATTGAGAAATTTAGAAGGGAGCAAAGACCACCTGGTGACCATCAAACATGCCAGCTGGACCAGGAGCGGTGGCTCACACATGTAATCTCAGCACTTTGGGAAGCTGAGGCAGGTGGATAACCTGAGACCAGGAGTTCAAGACCAGCTTGGCCAACATGGTGAAACCCTGTCTCTACTAAAAATAAAAAAATTAGCTGGGCGTGATGGCACGTGCCTTAGTCCTAGCTCCTCTGGAGTCTGAGGCGTGAGTATTGCTTGAACCCGGGAGGCAGAGGCTGCAGTGAGCCAAGACGTGCCACCGCACTCCAGCCTGGGCGACAGAGGGAGACTCCATCTCAAAAACAAACAAAAAAAATGCAAACCATCCAAAGGCAAAACTCCTTATGTGGGGAAATTGGAAGTAATCAGACTTCCTTATTGTTGTTATTATTATTATTATTATTGAGACTGAATTTCTGTCTTGTCACCCAGGCTGGAGTGCAATGGTGCAATCTCGGTTCACTGCAACCCCTGCTTCCTGGATTTAAGTGATTCTCCTGCCTCAACCTCCTGAGTAGCTGGGATTATAGGCACCCAGCAGCACACCCAGCTAATTTTTGTATTTTTAGTAGAGATGGGGTTTCACCATGTTGGCCAGACTGGTCTTGAACTCCTGACTTCAGGTGATCCACCAGCCTTGGCTTCCTAAAGTGCTGGTATTACAGGTGTGAGCCACCACGCTCAGCCTCAGACTTCCAGGTTATCTAAAGCAGGCATCTAGTTCCAAATTTCTTTCCTCCCCAAAATGTATAAGTAACTAGAATTTCTATACATCTCTCAATTTCATGCTGAAACTCTTTGTGCAACTCTTGCTGACATTAAGGCACTAAAATGTCTACTAATGTAATCATTTATCATGACCTGTGTGGCTAACATGGTTCAAATTACCCTTAAGCTCTGGCCTTAAGATCCATAAATGCTCCTAAGGAAAAATCCACTGCAGGGCACTCACTCCTTGCTGACGTACCCCAGCAGCAGAAGAGTGCACTCTTCTGTTCTTCTTGCTTTCTTTTCTGTTATTCTTGCTTTCTTTCTTTTTTTCTTTTTCTTTTTTTTTTTTTTTAATCGGGGTTTCACCATGTTGGTCAAGCTGGTCTTGAGCTTCCGACCTCAGGAGATCTGCCCACCTTGGCCTCCAAAGTGCTTGGATTATAGTCATGAGCCACCATGCCTGTCCTCTTCTTGCTTTCTAATAAACTTTCCTTTTTAAACCTATACTGTTGTTGGTAAATTTTTTTTACCAACCTGCAAGTCGACCACTTCCCAGTCCAGAAAGGTCTTCATCAGGAACTAAACCATAAATACAACATAGGCAGCCAACAGAATATGTGGAATCAATAGACACTTAATTAAAGATAATAAAATACTTAAGAATATAACTAACCTGCTGGGCACAGATGCTCACGCCTGTAATCCCAGCACTTTGCAAGGCAGAGGCAGGCGTATCACCTGAGGTCAGGAGTTGAAGACCATCCTGGCCAACATGGTGAAACCCTGTCTCTACTAAAAATACAAAAATTAGCTGGACGTTGTGGCATATAACTACTACTCAGCTACTCAGGAGGCTGAGGCAGGAGAATCGCTTGAACTAGGGAGGCGGAGGTTGCCATGAGCTGAGATCACACCATTGCATTCCAACCTCGGTGACAAAGCAAGACTCTGTCTCAAAAAAAAAGAATGTAACTAACCACCAAGGAAGTGAAGTGAAAGATCTCTACAAGGAAAACTACAAAACACTGTTGAAAGAAATCATAGACAGCACAAACAATTAGAAACCCATCTCATGCTCATGGATGGATCGAATCAATGTTGTGAAAATGACCATACTGCCAAAAGCAGTCTACAAATTAAATGCAATTCCCATCAAAATACCATCAGCATTCTTCACAGAATTAGAAAAAACAATCCTAAAATTCAGATGGAACAAAAAAAGACCCCTTATAGCCAAAGCAAGACGAAGCAAAAAGAACAAATCTGGAGGCATCACATGATCTGACTTCAAACTATACCACAAGGCTAAAGTTACCAAAAGAGTATGTGGGTATTGGTATAAAAATAAGCATGTAGACCAATGGAACAGAATAGAGAACGCAGAAATAGAGCCAAATATTTATAGTCCACTGATCTTCGACAAGGTGAACAAAAACATAAAGTGGATAAGGACACCCTATTCAACAAATGGTGCTGGGATAATCGGCAAGCCACATGGAGAAGAATGAAGTTGGATTCTCATCTCTCACCTCATACAAAAGTCATCTCAAGACGGATCAAAGACTTCAATCTAAGACCTGAAACCGTAAAAAATTATAAAAGATAGCATCAGGAAAACTATTCTTGACATTGGCTTAGCCAAAAAGTTCATGATTAAGTATCCAAAAGCAAATGCAATGAAAGCAAAGTAGACAAGACCTAAGTAAATGAAAAAGCTTCTGCACAGCAAAAGAAATAATCAGCAAAGTAAACAGATGATCCACAGAGTGGGAGAGAATACTCACAAACTATGCATTGGACAAAGGACTAATATCCAGGATTTATAAGGAACTCAAACAAATCAGGAAGAAAAAAAACAAATAATCCCATCAAAAAATTGGCAAAGTACATGAATAGACAATCCTTAAAAGAAGATATACAAATGACTAACAAACATGAAAAAATACTCACCATCACTAATTATCAGGGAAATGCAAATCCAAACCACAGTGAGATACCACCTTACTCCTGCAAGAATGGCCATAATTAAAAAATTAAAAAATAGCACATGTTGGCATGGATGTAGTAAAAAGGAAACACTTTTACACTACTGGTGGGAGTGTAAACTAGTACAACCACGATGGAAAACAGTATGGAGATTCCTTAAAGAACTAAAAGTAGAACTACCATTTGATCCAGCAATCCCACTACTGGTTATCCACCCAGAGGAAAAGAAGTGACTTTGCAGAAAAGACACCTGCACATGCATGTTTATAGCAGCACAGTTTGCAATTGCAAAAATATGGAGCCACCCTAAATACCCATCAACCAACAAGTGAGCAAAGAAAATGTGGCATACATATATATAACATGGAATACTACTCAGCCATAAAAAGATCAAAATAATGGCATTTGCAGCAACCTGGATGGAGTTAGAGACTATTATTCTAAGTGAAGTAACAGGAATCGAAAGCCAAGCATCATGTGTTCTCACTTATAAGCGGGAGCTAATCTATGAGAACGCAAAGGCATAGAATGATACAATGGACTTTGAAGACTTGGAGGGAAGGATAAGGGGGGTGAGGGATAAAAGACTATACATTGGGTGCAGCGAACACTGCTCTGGTGATGGGTTCACCAAAACCTCAGAAATCACTAAATAACTTTTCCATGCAACCAAACACCACCTGTTCCCCCAAAACTACTGAAATTAAAATTAAAAGTATAATAAAATAAAGATAATAATATCAGATAAGTAGATTATTGGTTCTGAAAGTTTTATTTAAAAAAAAAACCCAACACTTGTCTTCTCCTCTTAAGCTGATATTCCCTTCTACTTTTTCCTATATTGTCTTTTCATATTCATCTACTAAAAGGTGGTTTTGATGCTGAATTCCAACTCCCAAGTCCAAGTTTGTACATGAAACTTGACTATCTGTTGATAGTTAAAGAGATCAAGATAATTCAAACCATGCTAAAAGGTCATTGTAATTCACTCCTATTTTCAAAATTTCCCACAAAGTGTTAGAATTGAGTTACCCAAGTTACGTGAATTTTTTTTTTTTTTTTTTTTTTTTTGGAGACGGAGTTTCACTCATGTTACCCAGGCTGGAGTGCAATGGCGCGATCTCGGCTCACCGCAACCTCCGCCGCCTGGGTTCAGGCAATTCTCCTGCCTCAACCTCCTGAGTAGCTGGGATTACAGGCATGCATCACCATGCCCAGCTAATGTTTTGTATTTTTAGTAGAGACAGGGTTTCACCATGGTGACCAGGATGGTCTCGATCTCTTGACCTCGTGATCCACCCGCCTCGGCCTCCCAAAGTGCTGGGATTACAGGCTTGAGCCACCGCGCCCGGTGTTACGTGAATTTTTTAACCTCAAGGTTAAAACAGAAAATGTACCTTCTTTTTCCAAGGGATAAAGATAAACATGAAAAGTGAGAATATCCTGTAGAAAGTGGGATGATACTAAATGGAAGAACTGAACAGAAAACTGTAGCTAAGATGCTATTAAACAGAAAAATGTACTTGAATGTAGTGAAAAGCAAATTAACTAAAAGGGAAAAAAGTTTAATGTAATATAAATCCCAAGTAGATTCGTTTTTACAAGAAGATAAAATTTAACAATTATGTGAAATAAATGAATTTAACTGTTATATAAAATAAATGAATTTAGGAACTGATGATAAGAGTTAAATAATAAGGGGAAAACTGACATTAAAATACGTGAATACAAGTAATGTTTTAGAAATAAATGTACTTAAAGGAAATACAGTGAGAAAAACAGGAATAAAACCAGCATCACTGCAGAGAAGGAACTCTGGCCCAGGAGGAGCTCTGTGCATTTGCCTAACCAGCCTGGAATCCCTCTCCTGGAGTTCTGGGTAAGCTGGTCTGGACAGCCTGTTCAGCCAATCACAAGGGGACCTAATGTGGAGAGGTATAAGAGAAGCCAACAATGCTTTAGAAAAATCAGAGCTTAAAAACTGCAGAAAGAGAAGATAATGTCTTGTCAAAGATTTGGGGGAAATGACCTCCATTCTAGTTTTCCCACCATGGCTGCATCTTTGTGAACATGGTAATATCAGAAAGGCAAAAATGTTCATTTTATGTTTGCTGAATTATATTGTTCTCTCCATTTTTTTTTTTTTTTTTTTTTTTTTTTTTGTAGAGATGGGATCTTGCTGTGTTTCTCAGGCTGTTGTTGAACTCCTGGCCTCAAGCAGTCCACCTGTCTCGGCCTCCCAAAGTGCTGGGATGACAGAAGTGAGCCACCACGCCCAGCCCCATCTCCGTACTAGTCAGTGGTCATATGAAAATAGTAGTCTTGCTGCTCAAATATTACAAGGATTCTCCAAACGCTAAGACTCAGTTCAATGTGTTTCAATGTTTTCCATGTAGTCCTGACCACTATTTTGATTTCTATAACTAGTATCACACATACATCATTACATGAATATTAACTGCCTAAGAGAAGTGTTGAGCAATTGCTTATCTGGTGAATAAAATGCATATTTGAAACCAATTGGTGTAAACTAGTAACCATGTTGTACTTTAGAAAATATATTTTTTCCTCCAAGTTATTTTTGGGGGTTTGATTTACTTGAACAATGCCCCAATCCCTCCATTCTTCCTGACTAGATGATCTGAGACAGATTATTGAAAGCAAAGGTGTGGATGAGGCTCTCAGGTTAAGTGGGAACTTTGCTGCAATTGGTAGGATCTGTTCTCATTTGAAGGAACACAAGCCAAACATAATTGTTTTGATTCACTGGTCTCTGGCTAGGTTTCTTGCATAAAAATAATAACAGAAGGCAATTAAACACATGAACAGACTGAATAAAATTGTAGTGCATTCACCCTAAAAGACAGCACACCTAAAATGCCATTCTCATAATTGTGAGATCTTATCACATGTTCAAAAGGTCTTGCAGATGTGTGTCTCTCAGAGAAGATGGTTTAATTTCATAAACAAACTGAAATCATACATGTATACATAAATTCAACACATTCATGACATTGAAGCACAATTTTCAGATATTTTCTATTTCCAGACAATATGTAAAGAAATTAAGAGGTAATGACAGTAAAAGGGTAATAATGTATTCCACATTTGGCAACACGATTTTTTTTTTTTAACTAGAATTTATTCTTCTTTTAACTAGAATTTTTTTCCCTTGGTATTATTCTTGGTTGTTGTGCACTGAGTAAACTCCATAGAGATTTTTCTGTTTTTAACTATTACACAAATAATTCACCTGGCTTTAAAGCCAGGAAAATAAGGGCTACAATCAGAGTAATATGATCCTCTAGATTTTAACAGCAAAGTACTTGAACTGTAGTTTGTTGTATAAAGTTAAGAAACTCAACATCTTCAAGGATCAGAGACAGACCAAGTCGAAGTATGGTTGGACAACTGAACACAGGCAGATAAAACTATGCTTTCCAAATGTATCTATCCATCCTACCTCTGTGTACCTCTGCCTTGTTAGTTCTAGGCATATTCTTTTCTTTTTTCTTTCTCTCTCTCTCTTTTTTTTTTTTTTTTTTTTTGATATGGAGTCTCACTCGTCACCCAGGCTGGGGGGCATTGGCACAATCTTGGCTCACTGCAGCCTCCACCTCCTGGGTTCAAGAGATTCTCTCGCCTCAGCCTCCTAAGTTATAGCTAGGATTATAGATGTGCACCACCATGCCCAGATAATTTTTGTATTTTTAGTAGAGACGAAGCCTCACCATATTGGTCAGACTCCAACTCCTTGGCTTAAGCGATCCACCCGCCTCGGCCTCCCAAAGTGCTGGGATGATAGGCGTGAGCCACCGTGCCTGGCCATGCAAGTTCATTTCTAGATCCACCTAGATTTTCTTTAAACTTACTTCTCCTAAAGTGTAAGCTTGGTGACTATTTTTCTTTTTCTTTTTTTTTTGGCGGGGGATCGAGCTGTTTATTTCAGGGAGAGGGCAAGGGAGGGGGCTCCGTCTTTCTTGGCAGCGGCTTTGCTCTCAGCGGCCAGGACGTTGCTCAGCTCCTCCCGCTTCCTCTTGGCGCGATGTGTGTCCCCGCCCTTTTCCTGATGAACTTGAGGACCCGTTTGTCCTTAGAGACCTTCGGTAACTCCATGGCGCTCCGCTCGTACGGGGCAAAGCCACACACCTCCCGGATCATGTCCCGCACGAACTTGGTGTGTTTGGACAGACGCCCGCGGCGGCGGCTGTGCCTGGGCTTGCTCACATTCTTCGTTAGCCTGTGGCCCTTGCTCAGGCCCGCGGCCACAGGATAACGAAAAGCCATGGCTGCCGCTCTCCAATGGCGACCGTGGCGAAGCGCTGGCGCCGCGCGGAACTCTGGGATATCTCTATTTTTCCTTTTTAATTTTCCTGTGTGTCTCTAAAATGGAACTAAAGGCAAATGGAATGCAAGGAACATATTTTCCATCTTCCGACTCTTATAATGAGGGTTGGCAAATAACTACGTGGTACACATTTCAATTTAAAATGTTGTAAACAGTCAAGTTTATTATTTTAGTTTTTGATACAAACTAAAATACACTTACATTTGCCTACTACTGGGCTTCTCTGTATAAAACTGTTTATTGCTATATATTGTCAACACATCAGTAAAGATCTAAAACATATATTTTACTTGGATCATTTGCAGAGTAACCATGTGCTTCAATATGACTATCAAGATTGAAATAAAATTGGCCTCAAAAAAGGAGAGTATAATCCATACGTTTATATCTCTCTTTCCACATATTTTCTATTTCCAGACAACATCTAAAGAAATTAAGAGGTAATGACAGTAAAAGGGTAATAATGTATTCTACATTTGGCAACGTGATTTTTTTTCCTTTTAAAATAGAGTTTGAAAGAGTGTATTGTTTTATAAAGCAACTAAGATCACCTGGAATTTGAAGAGCTGCTATGAATACATTATCTAGAAATAATTCATTTGCCAAGTTGATGTGATTTCTCTTTTGCCCCTGAGCTGGTTTCATCTCAATTCTTGACTTTCCCTTTTTTGGTAACAGTAGATCTTCTTCTTTAGGTACTAAAACACTCATGTTGTTATTCTGAACTATCAGAGACTTGGCTTATAGGCATAATAATTCAAAAATTTTAATTAAATTTTTTTTGATGGGGTAATGGGGAACATTGCCCAAATATGTGATAAAGACAAAAATCTTTCCTCTTCTCTTTTTTGAGACAGGGTCTCACATTGTTGCCCAGGCTGTAGTGCAGTGGTGCAAGGGTCTCACCCTGTAGCTTAGCGGGGAGTGCAGTGGTGTGATATGGCTCACTGCAGCCTTGACCTCCTGGGCTCCAGTGATCCTTCCACCTCATCAGACTTCTGAGTAGCTGGGACTACAGGTGAGCACTACCATATTCAGCTAAATTTTTTATTTTTATTTTTTGTAGACAGTTTTCACCATGTTGTCCAGGGTAGTCTCAAACCTGGACTCAGGTGGTCTGCCTGCCTTGGCCTCCCAAAGTGCTGGGATTATAGGCATGAACCACCATGCCAGGCTGGGACAGAACTATTTTTAAAGGGTAAATCATGTTTTTTTGTTTGTTTTTAATTACATAAATACTTGACATTTCTAATTCCTGGATTCTAAGCAAGTAAAAGTATATTGAAAGACTGGGCTCAATGACTCTTTCCTGTAATCCCAGCACTTTAGGAGGCTGAGATAGAGGTATCACTTGAGGCCAGGAGTTCAAGATTAGTCTGACCAACATAGTGAAACCCTATCTCTACTAAAAATACAAACATTAGCTGGATTGGTTGTGTGTGCCTGTAATCCCAGTGATTCAGGAGGCTGAGGCAAGAGAATCGCTTGAACCTGGGAGGTGGAGGTTGCAGTGAGCAGAGATCGAGCCACTGCACTCCAGCCTGGGGCAACAGAATGGGTGAGACTCTGTCTTAAGAAAAAAAAAGTATATTGAGAATGCTTAAATTTGAGCATTTCTAGTTAGTGACAATTAACATACTTATAGTAATCATCACTCCATTTACAAAGATCTAAGTTTTACCAACCATTTGCTTTACCTTGCAAACCCATCCGTCTCAGTCAGCATCCAAGGCAGACTGTGGACCAAAGGAAAAGCTAATTTGACCATCCTAAGATTCTTAAAAACTAGTAGATTCTATATTTCTACAATATCTAAACTATGTTTAGTTGTTGTTGTTTTGAGACAGAGTCTCGCTCTGAGGTGCAGCCTTGAGTACAGTGGCGCCATCTTGGCTCACTGCAACTCCACCTCCCAGGTTCAAGCAATTCTCCTGCCTCAGTCTCCCAAGTAGCTGGGATTACAGGCATGTGCCACCACGCTCGGCTAATTTTTTAGTAGAGACAGGGTTTCACCATGTTGGCCAGGCTAGTCTTAAAATCCTCACCTCAAGGGATTCGCCCACCTTGGCCTCCCAAAGTGCTGATGTTACAAGGGTGAGCCACCTCGCCCAGCCTATGGGTTTTCCTAATGCCCTTTTGTCCGCTAAATCCACATCTTTTTTACTGCAACACTTTTAGAGCTGTTTGTTAGAGGTGTTTATAGCTTCTCTGGGGAACTTAAAATGAGATAAACCACCCCTGATTTCTTTTAATAACATTACTTCCTTCTTCTACTTCCCAAGATTGCAACCAATGTCACCTTTCATATTTACTAAACATTTATGATATGCCAAAAACTACCAAAAAAAACCCCAAAATTTCTTCTCTTGAGATATTAGGTTGGTGCCCAAGTAATTGTGTTTTTTGCCATTAAAAGTATTTGTGCACCAACCTAACACTAACTTAAAGTATTACCTTACTTTGATCTTATTGTGAGTATCTGGGAGGTGTTTTTCTCTATCACATGTACACATATATATGTATTAGCAGTAACTACAGGAGTTGCAATCCACCAGAGAATGGGGAATTTTATTC